TTCAACTCCCAGAATTCCCCAGCCAGCGAATGCTGGCTGGGGAATTCTGGGAGTTGATGTCCAGACATCTTCAAGTTGCCAAGGTTGAGAAACACTGCTCTAGCTTCTATGGAGAACATTTCCTACACGTGGCTCCTTGAGTCTTTGGAAAGCTGAGCTGCCTTCAGAAAGCTTTTGAGGCTTGCCAAAGAATTGGGAATGTGGCGTGTTTTTGAAGAACACTAGGTGTCCCTATTCTCGCAATACTTTGCAAGATCTCAGAAGCTTTTTGAAACCATATGTAGGAAGCCTTCGCTACAGAAGCTGACCTAGCCCCCAGCACCTTCACATTGGACAAAATGACTTCTGACCTTCCCCACTGGGTAGCATTCTTATTTGTGGCATGCTGTTGAGCCAGCCTGGGGAGCCACGTGTAGGGAGTGTTTGGTTTGCTCCAGGAGGGTGGTTTTTTTCCTTGAAAAAGGGTGTTTTGTCACACTATGGCTCAGGGACCGTTTTTAGGGTGGGGTGTTTTTTGTATGTGAAGTCAGGGTGGGCAGGCCTTGTCAGCAACAGAGAAAGAAAACCGTGGAGGTCAGGAGAGCTAAGAGTGACGGGGCTGGAAGTGCAGGGTGGTGAGGACAGCTGTAACTGGGATTAGTCTGGGGTGGCTCTGGCTTCCCAGGGCATGGCAAGCAGTCCCAGAGCCATGCAGGTCTGAGGCTGCTTGCCGTCAAAGCAGGTGCAGGGCAGCCAAAAAGGAAGACATTGGTGAGTGAGAGGAGTTGAAGAAATCAAATCCAGAATGGCTCGGATTCCATTCGCTTAACAGCCCACTATTTTCAGTTAATGATAGCAAGGGGGAGGGCTGGAGTTCTTGTCATTATTTAGTATCATCCTATGATGTCTCACTTTATGACACATTGCTTAACAATGGAAATTCCGGTGCCAATTGTGGTCATAAATCAAAGACCACTTGTAAACTACAGCTTCAACTTGCTTATCTTATCTATATATATTTACATACAGACCTTCTGGTCCAACTCCCTGCTCAAGCAGGAGACCCTATACCATTCTGGACAAATGGCTGTCTAATCTCTTTTTAAAAACCTTCAGTGGTGCAACACCCACATGTTCTGGAGGCAAGCTATTCTAATGGCTAATTGTTCTGACGAGAAATGTCTCCTTAGGTCTAGGTTGATACACTTTGTTTGTAGGCTAGGAATAAAATAGATTTTTCTAGTCACAATCGACAAGAGTTGTGCAGAATGAATTCCCCTTTCATAAATTGGGATAAAATCAAAACAATAGACAGTAAACAGCCATACAATGTAATGAATATAATAATCAGTATAAAACCCAGGAATAAAACACCATCAGCAAAATAATAACTTCAAATTACTTGAGGAAACAATTGGTCAAACCTCTGGACCTACTTAAATTGTAGACATCCTAAATGCCAAAAAGAGAATTAAAAGCTTAGCAAGTGCTGTTCCATAGAAGGATGGCAGCAATGGAGAAGTCATGTGGCTTCTCAAAGTGACATTCCCTGAGCAAGAGGATATGAAGAGAACTTTACCTACTTGATCTTGAGCCAGACAGGATGATGTTATTGGGAAAAGGCAGATATCCAGATCCTGAAGCATGAAAGGCATTAAAAGTGACAACCAGCAGCTTGAATTACACCCAGAAGCCAACCGATAACTAATGGCAACAGCAATTACATTGGTGCAATGAGAAATGTTTGAGACTATTTGGGATGCCTCATCAGTTTTCAAAATTTCTCAAGAAAAGTGCAAAAGTCCAGTTGAGAGGAGACTAAGATCTGAATATTGCAAGCAAAACTATTCATTCGAGGAGTAGTTGTAACTGTTGCACTTATTTGCCACTCACTCCTTGAGTAGGAACTATAAAGTTATGGCTAATCCCTTTCAGAGCAATGCTGGGTGCAGAATTAAAATCAGAGCATTTCTGAAATTGGGAATGAGACTTACAAACCAATCTATCTCACTGGAATTAAGCCTCAACTCGGTCCTCCTCATCCACAACTGATTAGGCTTCAAACATCTGGACAACATTTCAACAGGATCTCCCGCTTGACCCAAGGTTGAGAGGTAAATCAAGTATCATCATCAAACCGATATTTTATGCCATGACAACAGATGGCCTTCTTCTGGGGCTGATTAAAGTTGAGAAGGAGATGAATGGATGGCTCAGAACTCTGTTTCTGTATAGGAATTGGCTCCTTGCCCTTCCAACAAAGCAGGGGTGGGTTCTGGCAGGCACTACTTCTGGTTCACTTGTGTGCACGCCGTGCACGCACTTGATGTGCACTATGCGTACATGCACAGTGCAATAAAAATTATTCTGCGCATTCACAGAAGTAAAAAACAAGATGGTGGCCCCTATGGCGCCGCCCGGAGAACTGGTTCGGGGCCATGGCAGGCCTGGGTCACTGCTGGCTCCAGCAACCCAGGCCGCCAAAACACTACCGGTTCAGCCGAAGCGGTCTGAACCGGTAGGAACCCACCACTGCAACGAAGGCAATGTGCTTTGTAGTAATGATTCAAGAACTACAATTTTTTCGATAAACTAGCAGCATTAGAAAAAAACTTCATTTACTGAATTTTTGCCTAGCTTTAAAAGCACAAAAATGAATTTTCTATCAAAAGTTTTCATAATTGTTCTTCACAATCTTTGCTGAAGATATATTCTTCAAGCAGCCAATGTCTCTATTTGACATTTAGTGGTATTTTATTTCAGTAGTTGATTTTTTTTACAGTAATCATGCATGCTATTTAGTGTTTGATCGCACTGAAAACTAAAATGCAGTGGAATGTCACAATGCGTTTCTAGTTCTTTTCGTCAGCACTTCCCATTTTAGTGAAACTATCAGGGAACCTCTGCTAACAGTTGATGATTTAGACCGGAGGTGTCAAACTCAATTTGATTGAGGGCCGCATCAGGTTGGTTTGACCTTGGGGAGCTGAGGTTGGCATGGCCAGGATGAACGTGCCCAGCCTGACAGCATTCCTGTCGGGGGCACCTGTGGTGGTTCAAGTGCTCTGCCAGCAAAACAGGCTCTAGAGCTCCATTTTCAGCTGCCATGGCCTCGTGCAACCCTCTGGCAGTGAAAAAGGAGCTCCCCACAGAGCTCAGGAGCTCATTTTCACTGGTAGAAGCACCACAGGCTGGTCCTTCACTGTTTCCAAGGCAGCCCCATGGGCCGGATCTGGCCCTCTGGCCTTGAGTTTGACACCCCTGAATTAGACTTATCTTGGAGCTTGAAGCTCAGTTTACCCAAAACCACTTCTACCTTCATAAACATAGATTGGGCAACTTTTGTAGACCTAACTACAAAAACAGTCAATATTCTTTTGTGGCTAAACCATAAAAGAAAGTAAGGGTGGTAGTTAGGAAACAGTATTTCATGGAAGCTTATTGTACACATAAGAAGAAAAAAGAGGTTTCCAAAGAATCGATTGGTATAAATCACCATCCAATAAGCTGATACTAATTAAATTACTGTGTATAACACTGGGGAAATAATATACAATCAAAAGGAATATTCAGCAATAACCAACAGTTGAAATAGATTTCATATTTGAAATTTACTAAAATCAAGAAATGCAATAGAAACCTCAAATTTTAAAATGTTCACTTTGGATGATCAAACAGGAAATTTACTGACTTTTAGATGTCCATGCATATATTTTTTGTTTTTGATTTGATAAAAATCCCTGTGGGAAAAAGAGAGCTAGGAATTAGAGTAATAACAGAAGTAAACTTGCAAAAATAGCTAGATTCCGAGCAGACTTCAATATTAGAAATAATAATATGAGGATTTATGTTGCTTTTTCAAATTTGGACATGTTCCTATATGAGATTGATACCAGTTATAGGTGCATATAGAAAAATGCATTGGGAATGTTCATTGTCAATCTCTGTCAGCGAGGCACTGCTGCAAATAAGGCAGTTTTACTCAAAGGACAACAAGTCTGGATTATGACTTTCACTTTCTACGGGTGGCATCTTTGCTTCTGAAGGCGCCTTACAGCTTTGGTGTTCAGGAATGTTTTTACCAGCACTTAAATCAAATCTAAGAGCCACATTTTCTGGGAGAGTGGAAGAAGATACACTGTGAATTGCACTTTGTTTGGGCTCCATATTCTCCTTATGAATGAGATCAGGCACACATGTCCTATTGCTGGTTCCAACTTCCATCGGGCTCAACGAATCAATCTCTCTAAAAGCTGCCTGTGTATTAGTAGGTAGGCACTGAAGTTCCTGGAGCTCCTCAGGAAGTAAGGTTTGTGTAGTCTTCATCTGTGGTTCGGAAGCAATCAGCAGATCTTGAGTGGTTTTCAGAGCTCTTGGAGCACGCTTTTTGGTACTTAACGGGGGCGGATTAAGCCTTGGAATTACACTTGTTGGTGTCTGCCTAAAAGTTCAGGAAAGATTAAAAGAAGTATTACGTTAAAACTTTCACTTAAGCAAAAGCATCTCCTTGTCTCCTTTCCATCCAGTATTTATTCTCAACTGCTTCCCAGGCAAGGGAAATTGTTAAACAGAGTCCTAAATATCAGTGCTCAAATTGACATGGAGTTATTGGCAAAATTAAGTTTTTAAGTTGGTTGGCTAAGAACAAAACTATTTTTCAATTTGAAAAATACCTGTCACTGAGCCTATTCTAGACCCCCCCGTCTGAGTTGTTGGATTCTGTGGCGAAATATGGGGTCTTCCTCTATCTGCTATATCATGAGAGGTGTATAATGTGATGATTAGCCACCAAAGATATTGTTCACGATTGGCAACTATATGCCGCTCTTAGGTTTACATCCCTAGTTGAAAGAACAGCCCACTGGAATTTGACTTGCAAATTGTCCTATTTCCTCTTGGGCTCTAACCTATACTCTGTGAGCAGAACTGCTAAGTTTACAGTTAAGGAAGTTGATCTAAGAACTCATTATATCAGTCAAATTAAGGTATACTGTAAAGATGATGTATTTCTCTGAATGTTGATTCTTTATCATTATTTATGTATAAAGAATGTAAAATACATATGTATAAAACACATACGTATTTTATTACTGTATTTTCTTTTATCTACTTTACCCTGGAGTTAGATTCTGCATTTTATTTTTGTAGTGAAATGTAAATGGAATCATTTAACTGAAATCTTCTTCTCTAGTTCCTTCCTTAGCAAAGGTAAGACTAGGGTTTGATTAGTTAGTGGCAGAGAACCAGGAAGAAATGATTGCTTTTTTAAAAAAATTGCCCTTCTTGATATACCCCAGATCAGGGAAAGATGAAAAAATAACCGCTAACAAACCTCATTGAGCCACTTACCTATTTTCCTGGTGCTGACCTCCCAGCAATGTGCCTTGTCCACAACAGAGGGCTGCCTCAGCACGTTCATTGACTTCTGTTACCCCAAAGATGCTGTGGTTGGTGGATTCTTTCCTGCGCAGGAAATCACTGACTTTTGCACCAACAGTCATGCTGAGGTTTTTTAGATGTTGGCTGCCAGTTTTCCACTCTGACTGCACTCGCAGATTTGTACCAGTGGAGGATTGGAAAGCAGATTTGACAATGGGCAACTTTGCTGCCAGGGTAGTGTTTGAATTCTCAAACATACTTTGGTCCACTAAAAAAGAAAGAGAATTTCTCTGTGAATAGGAGTGGTGCCAGGCAGAGACATTATCCAAGAAAACAATGGAAGCAGTAATGGAATTCAGGTTGGTACCTGTTGTAAAAATGTGGAAAAATCTCTTTCTTTTTCTTGTTGATCTGCTGTGTTAAATTAAAAGCAACTTTAATATTTACTAACAAAAGTTGGGCTTTGTGCAAAACCTGTAACATTTTTTTCCTTGCTCCTCCCCTGATTCTTAATTTATTTTCCTGCTATTTAGAAAACCCAACTTTAGTGAATATTTTTAAATATCTTTAATCCATCGTAACGCTGATCCAATTTATCCTAAGACAAAAGAGAAAAATCTGGTGGAGACAAAGAGGGAATTGTATTTCATGGATCTGGTCCTCTGCAGCAGCTAAATTCATGTATCTGTCTTTCTTTCATCTTGATTTAGGAATTTTCTGCCATGTAGAAATAAGTAAGCAAATTAACATAAAAGTAGTAACAAATTAATTGATCACCATTAATGGTCATATTTTATTTACAATCAATGCATCTTCAGGGATAGCTTTGAGGCAGTAAAGGAATTTGAGATGTGTTTGCCAACGTGACCCATCAAAACCGTGCTCGACTAAACTGCGCCCGATTAAACCACGTCGCTGACGTCATCAACAGAGCGACAACAGCCAGCGTGGAGAAAGAAGGGCGCTTTAAATAGCGCTTTGAAAGCAAGCCGATTCAACTTAAGGTAAGGGTTAGGTTTAGGGTTAGCTTTAGGG